CTTATTCCTTAATTCCTTAATTATTTATTCCTTAATTCAACCCTGGTCTCAGTTGAATGATTGGTTTGTCCAAAGCAAAGGGTTGCCAAGGAGCCACCATACCCATACTTAACATACCATGTGGCAAGGGTCAATGTATATTAAATGGATCTGTATGTGCACTGTCATGTTCAAAACACAGCCTGATGTGCCACCATGTGCTGTGTAACATGTGAAAAAGCATCTACGGTGTAGCTCTGTCCAACTCATCACTGTCACTGTTGTGACAGAAGCGCACAGCCATTAGCCCCTTTATAAGGTCCCACAGAGTTGTATGGTGTGGTAATATCAGGACTGAGTGCTGATAAGGACAATTGTGTAGATGTTGGTGAGCCATGGTCAATCCAGGAGCCCAGATAATGCCTGTTCAAAATATCATGCAGAGTGAGGACAAAATGTGCAGGTCCTCAACCATGCTCACCATGAGCCCTGTCTCTAAGCTGTGGCACTAACTACACCATTAACATTTCAGAATTAAGTGTGTTCATATGCCCATCGAAGAAATAGGTGCAAATCAAACAATCTGCAGTCATACCTGCTCACAACACATGCAGTGTGTTATGTTCCAATTCCAATGTGAAATGAGAATTCTCTTTAGCACAAAACATAATATTTCTGTAGTGGTACTGCTGGAATTGGTATATTTCTCCCAAGTCTAGCAATGTCACTTTCATGGTGATGCTTTGTTAAATAGTTCACATAAAGTTGCCATCACTTGAGCCATTGTTTGGCCTGTGTGTGGTCTCTCTTGCACCCACATGCTTACTATTAGTCATTCTTCAACTAAATAACGGTTTGCATTGGACACACTCACAATACAACTCCCTAACTATGTCTTGCAAGCACATGCAACTGAGTGTTGATGAACACCACTTTTTGAGTTTCACAGTGTACAACTGCACACATAGGAATCAGGATAGCTCAGCTGGTACAGTGACAGGCTACAGGCTGGGTTGGATGACCTGGGTTCAATTCCCAGCAGTGCAAGATTTTTCTCTTCTCCACAGCATCTAGACTGGCTCTGGGGCCTACCCAGCACCCTATCCAATGGATACTGGAGGCACTTTCCCCAGGAGTATAGTGACAGGGGCATGAAGCTAACCACTCACATCCTTCTAGTGCCAAGGTCAAGAAAGGTTCAGCTATGCTCCACTCCCCCATATGTCTTCTGACATAGTGCTTAACTAATTAAGCACAGGGACAACTTTACTTTTACTATGACACACAAGGTAAGCTAGGAGTATGGTGATTTCCTGGCCACCCTGCACATCTTCCAAAACTCACAGGGGATGCTGCATATGTCCAGTGCTTTCAGGCCTACATCATCCTTCACAAAATAAGACTCTGGCAACTTTCCTTGATGGAATCCCTCCTGCCTTGATACTAGGCTTGGACAGCACCCCACTGATGCAGATGGTGTTTTGGCTGAAGCACAGGAAGGCTAATGATGTGAGGTTCTCTCTAGGCAGTGTGATATGCTGCTGAGGCAGGTCGAGAGCACAATGATTTTCTTTGGTACTATAACTGTTGTCATAAAATATTCTAGAGTGCATTCAGTTCAGTACAGAAATTCCCCTAGTCATAGATAGCTTCAGTCTTGTGTGCCAAGGTAGACAGTACAGATTGGACCTAGCATTCAGTGATTAATGTGAGTCACATTTCTGTATATTACATGAACTAAAGAGCCATGTGGTCTGTAAATGATGTCCAGGAATTGGAGGTGGGCATCTGTCTTTCTCAGACTCCATGGTTAACTAAATGCTGTATACTGTCCAGGTAATCCAAGAAATCTTTGGCTCTTTCAAATCTACATCATGAATGTGTCATTAAAGTAAATGACCCTGCAGTGGGCTTGTAAGAAGTTCCACTGATGGTTCCAACCTTTAAGTCCTCAATAAAAAAAGAAACTGGCTGTCCCCTGGAGAAAATGGTAACTCCTTCCAATTATTCACAGAACTAGAAGGTGAAACAGAAATACAGGGCTGTCAGGACACCGTGGAAGTGAATGACATTGTTTTAATAGAAATATCTGCAAGCGAGGAAACAGCGTGAGCAGGCGGCTGCAGACAACAGCCTACCCTGAAGATGGAGGCAATATGTTCATCTGAAACAATGGGTCACACAAGATCTACACAGCAACATAACCCAGATGGCATTCTTCAAATAATAATAGCGTTTATATTTCTTGTGCACTCATTAAATATATTTCAGTTTCTAATTGAGTACTGGCCCCATATTTTGGGGCATCCTGTAACTAATATTTAAAATTCAGCATTGTGCAGAATATTTCTAGAATGATCTCTTCAGCAACTTACTCCCATGATGTTATATTACTGTATCGTAGCATCCTGTTGCATATCATTTTATTTTTTCCTAGTTACTAGCCACCTTACATGCAACTTACTTTTTGAAACATCTACAAGTTTTGAAAAGCAAGCTGTATGTAAAACATGTAAGATTTGAGGCTTTCACGGCAGTGACTATGAAGAAAGCAGTCTTCTGTATGTAAAACAGTTAATAATTAGCTAGGAATAAATTACTCCCACAAGCTGTGAGATATAGTCATTTGGTGGGGATTTAGAACACATGCTGATGGTATGAATAAATTTATATCTTCCATTCATCTTGAAGAGCCGTAAAACAGCCAGGTGACTGAAACTTCTTCTTAACCTTTCTCCCAAGAACGATTTGACATTCCTCCTAACTAATCATAAAGAACACGTGAGATTTTGTATCATCACCATTCAGAATTTCCAGTATATCTAGTCTCTTAGAAGTTCTGTGCCATGTTTATGGAATAAAAATTTTTATCAGCTACATCTTGAAAAAGATAAGCAAAAAATTCAAATTTCTTCACAACCATCTGGACTTAGGCTCAAATAATTTGGATATTTCTTTTTTATGTTCATTATTTCCATATATTCAAGTCTTCAACGCAGTCTGATGTTCTCCTACATCAATCAGAACAGGACATATCTCAAAACTAATGGCCACAGACTGCAACTACGTAGCAATGATGTAGACTCACGTGTGCCTGTTACAACATTCTTCCATCACTACTGATATTGTGTCACGTTGTGTATCTCTGGTACAGAGCCCCCTTCCCCCAACTAAAATACGTATTTTACAGAATCTGCAAATATAACATAGTAATGGCATAATTAAAATGAAAGTAAATTTGGGAAGAGACTAATTCTTGTCAAGAACCTGACAAAAACAACAGAAAGACTATCATAGTAAAGAAAAAAAAGTAAAGCTATCCCTGTAACAGGCCGTGAGGGCCCATAGGGCTGTGAGACGTTGAGGGTCCCACATTATCTAGACAATCGGCTCAAAGATGGCAGTAAGGTTGTCAGCCTTACACGCCAGCAAAACTTTACTCCCCAGGAAAAGTATTTAATTAATTCCTGGTACTCATTTCTGTTAGAGGCTGAGTCAACCCCAGGGCCATAGTGCAGCTGGAAGGATTAGGTCAATTGAAAAAATCCAGTGACCTCATCGGGACTTGAACCCACGACCTTCCAGCTTGTAGCATAGCCCCTCAGACTATCATAGTGCAGGAGAAAAATGAACTGTCAAGAACACTACAACCCATGCAGTTCTGTTGAAATCCCACAGGCCTACATGTTCCACCCAAGTAACCTCATTAAAAGACAAGTTTCTATTTTTGAAATCTGCTAACAATGTAACAACTATTCCTAGGTGCTCATTCGTTATTTATCAATAATTTATGATCTATGGTGGCATACCTTAGGTTTAATTAATGAAACACAACATCACAAATATGTAGGGCGAGTGTAGGTATAGCTCAAGCATTTTTAGCCTCAGCACTAGATGGACATGAGTGGTCAGCTTCATGCCCCTGCTGCTTCACCCCTGGAGAAGCAGCACCCAATACCTCCCATTGTACAGGAGGATGGGTGAGCCTCAGAGCCAGTCTGGATGTTCTGGGGAAAAGAAAAACCTCTTGTCCCTACTGAGAATTCTGTCCCAACTCCTTGGTCTTCTAGCAGGTTACCTTGTCACTATACCAACAGAGCAACCCAAGCTCCTGAGTGTTTAGCATAACTAAAAAGAATTAACAACATGGGAACTGACATAATGAAAGGCAGAAACAGGGAAATCCTGCCTAATGCAACTTTGCTTATTGTACATTCCAGACAAGCTCAGGCCTCAAAAATTTGTTTCTTTGTAGGTCTGGTGGCTGGTCAGAATATAAGCAGTGCATCAGCTAATGTATCAGGCATGTGCAACATAACACAACAATAATCTTAAAACATACGAGTATCTAGAAATACAGCTCTTTTTTTTTTAAAAAACCTGCGAGCAAACTATCTCACTATAATTTATTTCTAGATGTCTTCAGTGTTGAAGCAACTGGCAAGCATCAGCTTCACCCCAAGATGAGCAGAGACACTGAAGAGCAAATATTCAGAAGTTGCACGTGCCTGATTTAATACGACACTTCCAAATGCTGTTCTTACCGCTTACTACTATTCTTGGTACATCATCAGTTGGGTCAGCTTGCTCTCCGCACTTCAAGTTTTCTTGAAGCAATGACTCTGCTGCATTGCTTTTGCTAAGTTGCTGAGCATTCTCATAAATTCCATTAAGTATGTTTGATGGTACCTCATGACAGATGTGCTTAGCAAAATCAGACTGACTGCAAAAAATTGTAACACCACAGTTGGAACAGGTACAAGTGACTGGATTCTTTCCTTCTGCCATTAGTTTACTAACTTGAGTTCTGTGTTTCTTGCTGCATTTATGCAGGTTCCATGTCTCCTCTAATTCAGTTTCAGTATCACACAGAGTACAGTGGAATAAACAGGATTTTCCTTGAAGTAGGGAACCACTGTGATCTGAACCATCCTTCTCTCTAGGCACCAAAGCTTTCACAAGTGCCTCTTGTGCATTATTTGAAGCTTTACATATTTCAGATTGAGATCCTTCTGAAGTAAAAGACTCATCCTTCACTCTCGGTCTGTTTTCTGCTAAGTTTTCAGTTTGTGTGACTATGGGACTGGGAAAATTTTCCTCTACCAAACTGTTTGCTTGTTTCATGTGAGATGGATGCTCTGACGTCAGACGTCTGACAATAGTGGTCATGTGAGTTTTGCCACGAATATGATCCGTCACATTCTGAACAGTAGCAGGGATCCTGACACAACAAGAGGTACAGTAAAGTGTTGTGCTATTATCAATTTTAAAGTATGCCTGATGTGCACGGTCCAATTTATGTATCTCCTGCCACAAGTAATCTGAAATTTTTGCCAGTTTTTCATTCATCTCTATATTTTCTGGTGCCCTTATTTTTTCCTGATGCGGTGTATCCATAACATGCGCCAGAACATCATGAACTGATAATAACACTTTACAGGGCTCACAATGGAACGTATCTCCAGAAGTATGCCAGATATTGGACCACCTTCCATTTTCAGCTCGGCAGATCTCTTCCCAAATATCATACATATCGTGTTGCACCCATTTCTGTGAAGTATTTGTATATTTCTTCTTTGTTTTGTCTAGTTTTTTCAACTTCTGTTGATGACTACTTGCCCCTACATGAGAAACAACACCATTGGTATCCATACTTTTGGAACACAGCCCACACCAGAATTTGTTATGTGAGAGCATGCATATATTGTTTGTTTGTCCACCCTCAAGTTCTCTAACTGTCTTCCACAAAGGTTCAATGTTAACTGCTGCTATTGCTAAATTTTCTGTATGTTGTTTTCCTACAATATGTTGTTCCACAGAGTCAGAATTCAGTAAAGTTACATCACACAATTCACACCAAAGCAAACTGTTGCCCAGACTCCATATGTTCTTGTATTCAGTTCTTTCATACTGCTGTTTCCTTCCCCTTTGACCTGCACAGGTTTCCCGCTGCACCTGAAACAATGCATCTGACACCTCCACCTGCCTTTGTACATCTGCTCTGGAGTCTGTGTTAAGTTTCTTCACACCCACCTGCATAGCAGTAGGAACAACTGAACTTACTGTGCACTGGGGTTTACCCTGAACCTTCACTTTTTGATGACCCACTTCTACATTACTCTGCCTTGTTATTGGTTGTTCACTGTCCTTCATCTGTGCTTTCCTATTTCTATGGCCTTTGGGATGTTCTTTAACACTGCTGGTGCTAGGTAAATCTTTGCTGCAAAGCCAACTGCTCTCCCTGCTGGACTTGCCCATATGTACATGGTCCATTACACTGTGACTTGATTTTGAAGACTGAACTTTGCTTACTTTACAACAAACTTCTTTGTGGCCTCGCCAAGTCCGCTGTTACTGTTTTCATACTTCAAATTTTCCCTTTTTAATGCTTTTTCTTGTGAAGCTGTTTATTAATGACTATCCACTTGATTTTGAAGATCAATTGATAAATCCCAGACATCAGAGTTCTATCTTCACAAAAAGAACACACATTATATATTTTAAGAGGCCCTGACTCTCAGCATCCTGTTTTTCATATAGCAAGAGGTGTGAGTCCACTTTTACATATAGACTAAATAGCCTGCTTGATGTCAGTTTAAAAACAGAAGATTCAGTACGACATATTCCTTCCCCTTGTAGCACTGTCTCCTGTTTGAATTACTTCCACACTTCCTATTTTGGAAATATAAGCATTTGCTCTAAGAACTTCAAAAGCAGATTACATGAAAATTATGCAATCCAGTCATATTTTGGATACAATCGTTACTGATTTAATACTAGAAGTACTGATATATAAAACTACTGGTTCTGTCATATATTCAGGTCACGCAACTGGTCAAACTTTGCATAAGTGTTCTAATTGCTTAATGCCAAATCATTCTGAAGGATTAGCCTATTAAAATTCCAACAGATTTAACACACAACAGCAACTGCCATCCACATAACATTCAACCACCACAGTTTTATGGTAAAGATATGTCTTTTGTAATTGCTTATCTGAAGTGTCTTCACTGTACTATTTTTTGTTTATATAATTTAATTTCTCACTGCCAAACTATAAACTTCTAATTTCCTCTCCCTGTTGGAATTTCTTAAGTTTTTCACAATTAAAGCAGGATTTTTTGTTAAAATACAGCACAAAACAAGTTTTTATAGAGCATTCCCACACATTTTCTTATTCTCCATACAAATCTGAATCATAACATTCTGCACTATGGAACAAATAATCAACATTACACAGTCATCACTAATCATCTGAAATATTGCTTCCGTGTTGAAAAACTGAATAACTTATGTATCACACTTGTCTTATATAACAGAAAAGCACATGAAAGTTCTTCAACTTTTTTGTTTCTCCTTTTCTTTCACCCTCACTTGCTGTAGTAAACTAACGGTTGAGTTTGCACAGCAGGGTACCTACAAACAAAAACACACGGTATATTTATTTAACTTACAGCATAATCTTGATTTTCCATGCTAAGGGAGCGGAAGATAAACGAATAAATGAAAAACATGGATGTCAGGTGTTGAGTGTGACTGGGATACCATAGCAATTGTTAAATATAGAAATTCGGAATGTAGACACAGTGTCTCTAGAACCGCATGCCCTATGGATACTTATTCAATTATCTCAAACACCATAGGGTTCCTGGTGAAAAAAATACTGGACACTAACACGATTCGTTTTCCCCCACAGTGTTTAAGTTTTGCGAAGTAATAATTGCTGCTGAAATGAATGAAACTGCTGAATCAGTCTTCATATAAAGTGGTCGTTAATACTATCTGATCTAAAGGAAAACTGAAATCGTCTTATTACTTCTTCCACATAATAATTCCAAATTGTATTTACTTCTAAGCTGGTGCGCTTTTCTCGCACAGAAGGGCGGACATAGGCTCACCATATTACATGGCGCTCCGCAGGATTGCAAACACTCCTTCAAAGACTCTAGGATCACCAGCAAAAAGGAAAATACGTGTTAGGATAATAGGGAAAATGCTCTGTATGAAAATGAATATAAATGACGAGATGCCAATGTCAGCAGAACTAGGCAGTCACACAAACACTTAACGTTTAATGTTCTAAAATCATCTTACTCCTACAGCTCCAGATTCGTTTAACAAACTTGCATAACCCAGACTCCTAGCACTTTCAGAAATAAGACGAAAATATCTCCAAAGGTTATTTATACTTGTTCAGTTACTAGCTTCTCATGTTCTTGAAACTGACCAATTTCTCGGGGAAATTTGGCAATCCACTTATAAAACAATGTCAGGGTAGAAAACCAAAGTAACACTTCTGGAAACTACTTTTATCAACATGTATTCTTTACATAGTGCCTCGAATTTACTTGAAAATTTATACAAAACCTATATCATTATTAGACTTCCAGACAACAAAGCAAACATCATTTTGATCTATAAATATAATATTTATACTTCGTTCAGTCAATAAGGCTCCAAATTACCTTTGTGAAATACCCCGAAAATCCTTAAAAAAAGTCAGTGTAGTTTACCAATTCCTATAACTTTACAACAGAAAAATGCACTTACCTAGCTTCCAACCATAGATAAATACGGAAACTTGCAAATCGTACTCCACACAACTTCCGAACTACTACTGCCGTCCACTGCCTGCCTAACCTAACTAAGTTGCTAAGCTGCCTACTGGTCGCTACTGCAGTTTCCTACGGCCCCTACCCTCCTACAGCGCCGTACAGCGCCTACGGTCGCTACGGTCTCCTCATTACTCCTATCCTCCTATCGATCCTATCTGTGTTGACAATGCCTAGGAACCGCAGGGAATGGAACGAATAGGAAATATACGTGCATTATTGCCGATCACTGCCAACACGTCCTTTTGTAATTGGCTGAAAACCAGATGATTTTCATTCGGCTTTTTCAAGTTCTGTACTTCTATCAGTAAAATGAGCGTAAATTGCGCAAGAATAACTGCGTGGCGCACAGCCAGGTTTGAAAAGCTCATAGCTACCAGTTGGTCAAGTTATTAAATCCCCAGTCTTTCATCAAACCCAAAGGGCCACTACTTCATTCCACATCAGTTGTGTCCAGGCTGCAACATGCTTCATTTAATGCAAAGGTAAAGTTGTCCCTATGTTTAATTAATTAAGCACCATGCCATGTAGAAGTAACGGGAGGTAGAGGTACAGCTGCACCATTCTTGACCGCGGCACTAGATGTAAGCTTTACCCCCCAGCTACTTTGTTCCCAAGGAAAGAGCTCCTGGTACCCATTGGCTAGAAGGCTGGGTGGTCCCAAGAGCCCACGTAGAGAAGAGAAAAATCTCTTACCCCTGCTGTGAATTAAACCCTGGCTGTCCAGCATGTAGCCTGTCACTATTTCAAGCTATCATGGCTCTCCAGTTAGGGTTTAGTATTATTCACACTTCTACCCCGATTTCCCCAGAGGTCCCTGTCCTTAAGCTTTTCTGTTATCTGTATTATATTTCTCACTGTTGCAGAATAATGTCTGTAGATTACAGGTTACATTATTACCAGAATCTAAATCCTGTTTAGTTTATATTTTTTTATATACAATCCTCCTGTTTCTCATATGATGACCCATTGCAGGTATGGGAACAACCTTCTAGATGAAAGCAGAACCTTCTAACCTATGACAAGAATCACCAACTCATTAATGGTCTAACATTCATGTTCGCCATGTGTGCTACATATCATGCAAGGCTCGCCCTTCTTGACTTATTTTGTGAAAGTGACAAATTACAAGACTTCTCATTAAGTCATTTTTGCCAACCTCTTATTTCCTCTCTCTTTGGCAGTGGCTGTTTGTGCTTCATTTTTCTGGTGGGCACTACTGGAGGCGGTTTAAGAGTCTTTGAGGCTCCAGGGCACTGAAAATGTAGTGGGTGTGATGTACAGCACAACTGCTACTCACATACAAAGCTTTTAAAACTATCAGGTCTACCAGAACTTCAGGTTTTAAAAACTTATAGTAAAGGGTTTGGGTAATGGTATATCAAGGCAGGTTTATACTGGGCAAATAATTCAGTCACAAACTTATGTTTAAGCCATTTAAAATATTTTTACTGGCTACCCAACGGCATTTGGGACAAAAGAAAGAAAAAAAACTTTTTAATACTTCTGGATTTTATTATTAATATTTGTTGTATTTCTTTTTTTTCTATAATTCTGACTTTTCCAGAAATCCATAGGATGAGCAGATGCCTCGTTTTATGGTCACCATACATGCTTCTTCCTTCATGTAATGCTGCATTGAGAATTAAACTGTTCCTGTTTGTAAAATATCCGCACTTGCAACTCGTACAGAACAAAATTCATACACTTGCCTGTAATATTATAAACCTACCATTACTCATAGTATTATAAGCTTTTTGGATTTTGTTCATCACCTGTTATTTTGGGAGCTGCATCTGGTCTCATCTTCAGGCGAGGGGTACCTACTCGGTTTAGTCAGTATAGTCCATTAAAAGGTGCTAATTCCAGTCACTGGTCATTTGACAGATCCACTCCCAAAACAGTGTATTATATTTTATAATATCAGATAACTTACAAAGTCCAGAAGGCTTGCAATACTAAATCTAGGAACTTGTTTACACATTATCTGGCTAGATGTATGTCCCAGTATCGAGATATGTCCCAGTGGCACTCCACCGGAAGCCTGCACTACATCCTGGAGTGCTTTTCACCAGGTCACCCCCAGGTGGTAGAATCTCAGGTGCTGGCAGGTGGTTCATCCAGAGTGGTGCTGATAATGGGCCAGATTTCTCATTTGTGGATGTGATGTGCTATGTGAGAAAAGTTCGTTCATAATATGCAGTGAATTTCCACAATAAGTCTGTGAATATGACTTGTCTTTCTGTGAGAATTAAACAAAGCAAACAGAAAAACAGGTACCACGACACAATGCCATTCCATTATCTGAAACAGCTGTTTTCATTTGTCAAATTTAAAGCCAGTGTCCTTTAATAGCACATGCATAGTTATCCTCTTGAAATTAGGAAGTTGGATCATTATTTATAGCACAAAAAATTTTGTCAGTTGTATGAATTTCATCGCTTAAGTAACAGCAGCTCTGATAAACTCATCATTGTCATTTACTTGTCTTGAACTTGAGTTGAGCAGTAACATAAAACTTGCATTTGGGAGGTATCTCATTTTAATCTCAGCCACTAACTCACTATCCTCACTATTCTTACTCAGAGTTCCATGGACTTTCTCAGTTCCTGTAGACAACTGTTTTCTGTTGTTGATGCATCAGCACATCACCCTACCATGTCCCAATAAATGCTGCACAACTATAAAACCAAGAAACTTTATCTCTGTTTTTAATGATTTATTCATGCGAATATTTTCATTAGGCTCCATTGTTATATGAAGTATAGCAGCTATCAAGGGCTGTACTATATGTTGAGTGGGCAATGTTTTAAAACCATATTTACAGTGACAAAATATTAAATGAAATGCCTGCCTCTAAACCACCATTTTATCCTTCAATTTATGGACATTCATCTTGCCATGTAACACTCTTAGTCAAAGAAAGTTGTGGTGGAATTTTCTTGAGGTTGGTTACAATAATATATATATGTGTGTGTGTGTGTGTGTGTGTGCGCGCGTGTGTGAGAGAGAGATTCATTTTAATGTGTTTGCCTGTTCGTTTCTCATTCTTTTTGAACCATTAAAAATAACAGACAACAAACTTCCATAAAACATATTCATATATGTTGATACAGTTCCAGTGCATCTGCATTACTTGAATTAAAGACATTTTGATTATCACATACACTAAGACATGGCTACTCACACAGTGATTTCTGTGGGTATCACTGTTTTCTCTGTCTTTCTTTGGTATCCACTTCCACATGTTAGTTTGAAGGCTGTGAACGTTATCACGTGTATCTACACAGTGCAGAAGAATAGACTATACCTGTCTGTTGCCATCAACCTTGAACAAGAAATAAGATAAACAACTGCAAGATTATAATACCAGATTATAAAGATAAAACTTGGAGAGAGAGTGATAAAACACTGCTGGTTTAAATGTACTGAGACAGCTTTGTAAAGCTAGAACTTACTGGGTCCATGCATTCAAACATTAACAGGATCAACTGACCTTGTACTTTTCTCTTATTAATTTTTGGGGAGTAAATTATTGTAAGTATTGTATTATATTGTATTTTATTTTCATCCGTTTTGCTACATAGTAACATTTGGACATGTCATTCAGTAATATAAGTTAACAAAATAAATCTACATAGTTACAAGCATACTAC